GGTCCAACTTCTTTGGGGCTCTCTGAGCTTCCTGGATTTCCTGGAAGTCTATTTCCTTTGCCAGAATGGGGAAGTTCTCCTTTTTTATTTGTTCAAATATGTGCTCAATCTGTTGCTTTTCCTCTTCCCCTTCTGGTACCCCTATAATTCGGATGTGGGAATGTTTAAAGATGTCCTGTATGCTCTTAAGCTTCTCCTCGTTTTTTTGACTTCTTATTTCTCCATTCTTTCCTGCTTGGATGTTTTTTTCTTCCTTCTAGTCCACTGTATTGTTTTGAGTCCCAGTTTCCTTCCCTTCACTATTGGTTCTCCGTGCATCTTCCTTCATCTCTTTTATGGTAACCTGCATTTTTTCATCTAATTTGTGACAAAAATCAACCAATTCTATGAGCTTCCTGATCACCAGTGTTTTGAACTGTGCATCTGATAGATTGTCTGTCTCTTGGTTGCTCAAAAGGATGAGTCCTGGGGGATTGAGCTGTTCTTCTGTTGGAGACATGTCTCTCTTTCTCTCTCCTTTTTTTTTTTTTTTTTTTCCCCGGTCTGGTCATTCCTGTTACGGTGAGGAGCAGAGCCTTAGGTGTTCACCGGGGCTGGGCACCCCGGTTGCTAGATTGTGACGTTGTATTGTGGGGGTGGGGGCGGGAGGGAACAATGGTGGTAGTTCCACTCTCCTGGGGCGTCAGTAACCCCCCTGGGATCCTGGGTTGCGCGCTCTGCCCTGGTCCACAATGCCACCTCACTGGGTCTGCCAGCTGCCGCTTGCATACTCAGGGTCCACCGCTGCGCTGCAATCTTGCGCGTCCTGGGAGGCTTATGCGCTCGGTTGCCTTACGTGCCCAGTTTCCCCTCTTCTCCGTGCACCATGACCCACGCCCGCTCCGCCTCTCTGCCCCTCCTACCAGTCTGGATGAAAGGGTCTACTTCAACTTCTTGGCTGTCCGACTTCCATTCAGATAAATTCTCTGTCAGTTCTGGGTGTTATTCTGCCTCTAAATTGTTGTTGTTCTCATCTTGGTTGTGTGTGGAGGTACGGTGCATCCACCTATGCCTCCATCTTGCCAGAAGTCCCCTTCCTGTGGCTTTTCAAATCTCTCTAAACTCAACACCTAGAACCTGCCTATGTGTTAAAGAAACTATTTTACTAGTACCTAATCTATTGGAGGTTTATCAGCATCTAATTGATACAAGGAAAGGAAAATACTCAACTTTCCCTGAGGTCCCTTTAACCATCCTGTCCCACCTAAGGCTAGGGGAGAGAAGCACTTGTGAAGCTCATGACCTGGAGGCACAGGCTCACTATAAGACTGAGACCTCATCATGGGTCTATAGAACAGCACCCCTTCCCCCACAACTTACTACCACATTATTATTAAGGCTTATTTACTACAGTTCCTTTTACCGCAAACATTATGTCCAACTTTCAGCCAAAAATTACAAGGCATACTAAAAGGCAAAACAACAGCAGAAGCCAACACAGTTTACAGAGACAGAGCAAACATCAGAACCGGAGTCAGATTTGTCAGGAATATTGGAATTATTAGATGAGAAATTTAAAAAAATAGATTTTCTTTATTTATTTTTAGAAAGAGGGGAAGGCAGAGAGAAAGAGGAGAGAAACATCATTGTGTGGTTGTCTCTCACATGTCCCCCACTGGGGACCTGACCCATAACTAGGCATGTGCCCTGACTGGAAATCAAAGCAATGACCTTTAGGTTCACAGGCCATTTACTCAATCCACTGAGCCACACCAGCCTGAGATAGACCAGAAATTTAAAATAACTATGACTAACATGCTAAGGATTCTAGGAGAAAAAGCAGACAGCATGCAAAAAGAGGTAGGTAACACAAGCAGAGAGATGGATATTATAGGAAAGAATCAAAAAGAAATGTCAGAGACCAAAAACACATAAGTAATGTCTTTGATGAGCTCATCAGTAAACTAGTTGAAACAATCGGTGAGCTTATTGGCATTTGAGATGAAATGCCTCTAAATTTTATTGCCTACCAAGTGATTAGAGCAATCACAGATGTGGGGAATGCCCTTGCTTCTTTTTTCAGAGCATTAAAACCACAAGAAGCTGTTGCTATTTATCCATTCATGACCACAGTCTTTTAGAGTCACCCAGTGACATGAAATTGTCCAAAGAATTTACCTGACAAAATGTCGTGGCTGGCAGACCCAGCAAGGTGGCGACTGTGAAGTCAGGCACTGCACACAAAGTGCTTGGCTGTCCAGGCCACATTCACACGCAGAAAAACCAGGTGAAATTGGGCAGTGAGACAGACCAAGCAACCCAGGGTCCCAGCACCAGAAAATAGAACCTCAGGACACTGATTGAAAACACCTGTGGGAGTTGAGGTGCAGAGAGAGACTCTCAGCCTCACAGGAGAGTGTGTTGGAGAGACCCATGGGGTCCTAGAACATACAAAAGCCCACCCACAGCGGGATTAGCACCAGAAAGGCCTGGTTAGCTTCGCTAAAGCAGCGGAAGGGACTGAAATCCCATAGAGAGAGAAGCATGTGCCATTGTTTCACCCAAGATTAAAGGTAAGGAGAGAATCTTAAAAAAGCAGCAAGAGAAAAGGAAAGAGTTACATACAAAGGAGTTCCCATAAGGCTATCAGCTAATTTCTCAAAAACTTTGCAGGCAAGAAGGGGATGGAAAGAAATATTCCAAGTCGTGAAAGGCAAGGACCTACATCCAAGATTACTCTGTCCAGCAAAGCTGTCATTTAGAATGGAAGGGCAGATAAAGTGCTTCCCAAAATAAGGTAAAGCTAAAGGAGTTCATCATCGCCAAGTCCTTATGATATGAAATGTTAAAGGGACTTACCTAAGAAAAAGAAGATAAAAAATACCAACAGTAAAATGACAACAAACTCCTATCAATAACCAAACCTAAAAAAACCCAACACACCCATGAACTAAGCAAACAACTAGAACAGGGACAGAATCACAGAAATGGAGATCACATGGAGGATTATCAGTGGGGAAGACGGGAGAGTGTAGGAAAAGGTAGAGGAAATAAGAAGCATAAATTATAGGTTCAAAATAGACATGGGGAGGTTAAGAACAGTATGGGAAATGGAAAAGCCAAAGAAATTATATGTATGATCCATGGACATGAATCAAGGTGGGGGAATGCTGGTGGCAGGAATACACAGGGCAGAGGGGAATAAAGGAGAAAAATGGGATAACTGTAATAGCATAAACAATAAAATGTATTTAAAGAAAGAAAAAGGACTTGAATTAGTTTCAAGTGTATGTTGTATACTGAAAAGCAATCACTAGAGAAGTAAAAAAAAGTAAAACATGCTTATAGAGGTAAAAAATAGAATTATATATAATATTAGATTTAAACCTATGGACACTAGAAAAAGTGATAGTCAAAGACAAGAAACAAAGAAAAAAGGCAATAAATGGAGAACCACAATAAATATGGTACATCAATCCAATTTTATAAATAATAATTTAAAACCCCAATGATCTCAATACACCTACTACAGCACAGAAACTGTCATGGTGGATAAGTACAAACAAACCCAACTACACAATGTCTGTAAAAAAAATTAAAAGTATTTAGACAGAGATAGACAAAAAGTTAAAGTTATAGAGAGAAACATACTATGCTAACAATAAAACTATAAAGGTATAATACCTATATTAATTTCAAACAAAGTAGATCAGAGTAGGGAAAATTATGAGGGAGGAAGAGGGAAAATACACAATAAAGAAAGGTCAATTCTCCAAGAAGACATAATAATCCTTAATCTCTGTGTACCTAACAACAGAGTATCAAAATAAACATGAGGCAAAAGTTGATAGAAATGCAAGGAGAAATAGATGAATTTACTAATATAGCTGAAAACTTCAACAGCCCTGTGTCAGTAATGGACAGGTCTATCATGCAGAAAATCAGTAAGGATAGCATCATTAATTATCAAGAAAATACAAATCAAAGCCACAAGAAATATACCATTTTATACTTGTTAGGATAGCTATTATCAAAAAACCAGAGTAACAATTATTGGCAAGCATGTGGAGAAATTAGAACCCTTATATACTACTGCTGGTGGATATGTAAAATGGTGCAGCATTTTCTAAAATAATAAAAATAGAATTATCACATGATGCACCAATTTCACTTCTGGGTATACACCCAAGGAATTAAAAGTAGGGATCTGAACAAATATCAGTATATTCATGTCCATAGAAACTCTAGTCACATAAGCAAAAAAGGTGGAAGTATCTCAAGTGTCCATGAATGACTAAACTTAATGTTCAGTATGGGAAGATAAAATGAGTTCTAAAGTTTGATGATGGCACTGGTTGTACAACAATGTTAATGTATTTAATGTCACTAAATGTACACTGAAAATGATTAAAATGTTAAATTTTACTTACATATATTTTGCTACAATTTTTTAAAGATGAGCTTATGCTGGAGGAGGGTGGACTTCTAATTCAATTTGACTGCTGTCCTCATAAGAAGCCACTCTATGAAGACACAGAATATAGGGAGAATATAGGGAGTGGAAAAGGAGGCGAAGTTTGGAGTGATGCTGTCACAAGCCTAGGAACATCTGGGGCCACCAGAAGCTGGAAGAGGTGAGGAGGGATCATCCCTTATAATTTTCAGAGGGACCATGGCCCTGCCAACACCTTGATCGCAGACTTCGAGCCTCCAGAACTGTGAGAGAATAAATTCTGGTTATTTTAAGCCAAAAATGTATTTCCACAAGAGTCAATAGATACTATACATAAATATATAAACCTTTTTATTTTGCCTGCACTGTTACAGACCGAATGATTGTATCCACTACCGGCAAATTCACATGTTGATGTTCTGACCCACAATGTGGTTGTTATTAGGAGGTGAGGTCTTTGCAGGTACTTGGGTTTAGATAAGACCATGAGGGCAGAAGACCCAATAATGTAATCAGTGTTTTTATAAACAGAAGAGGAGACCCCAGAGCTTTCTCTCCTCATTCACAGGCACGGAGGAAAAGTCAGGTGAGCACAGAATGAGAAGACAGCTGCCTACAAGCCAGGAAAATAATCCTTACCAAGAAGCAAACCTGTCAGCACGTTGATCTTAGACATTCCAGCCTCCAGAATGGTAAGAGATAAATTTTTGTTGTTTCAGTCTCCATGTCTGTGGTATTTTGTTAGAGCAGCCAGAGTAGCCCAAGACAGGCAGTGTGCATTTTAGAAGCCACATCGTGAATCAAGCAAGCTGCTGACACTGCACTTTGTGCAGTTACAGTCTCTTGGAGACAACTGAAAATAAAAAATGAAACACACAAAAAATAAATAGTGCAGCTACTTACATATATGATGTGTCTAAAAGGTAAAACTGAAATGAAGGATGAAGTCACAGGATTGTGAGGAGTCCTACCTGGACCTGTTCCATACAGGACTGATATACATACTATTAGTGATGTAGACTGAGACACAAGTACCAGCTTTCAAAATACAGAAAAACATTCCCAATACATGTGGTGATAACTAGGACCAATTTTTATGTTATACCTGGATGTCTTTCATGCAGATAGTTTGGAAGGCAGTGTGTTGACATTGGTAAAAAAAAAAATCTGCATTAACTATGGCACAGTGGGCCATGTTAGAATGAAGTGTGTGGTGAATTTTGTTTGTAGCTATTGGTGACTGTGTAATGTTGGCCAAGTTACTTAATCTCTCTGAGCCAGTTTCCTTATCTGCAAATCCTTTTCTAGATAAGGGTATACAAGTGTATAATAATACCTACTTCAAATGGTAACATGATATATATGAGAACCCTGCTTAACAGCAAACACAATAGCTGCACAGTAAATTCCTTTTTCTCTCTCTCTCACTCTGTGTGTGTGTGTGTGTGTGTGTGTGTGTGTGTGTGTACGTGTGTCTCACCCTCTTTCTCTCATTTCTCATGCCTTTAGGGTTAATTTTCTCATTCTTGATGGATTAATGTGGTCCAAATTGGTAGAACTTATTGGCAATTTCTGGTTTGAGGCAGAAAAGGCCATTTGGGTGCATGTGTTGGACGGGTACCTGTGGCAAGGTGATTGTTTTGGGTAATGTGGAAAAAGGTGCTTCAGCCCTGATTGGTGTGGTGCAGTGGTTGAGCATTTTCCCACAAACTGAAAGGTTGCCAGTTTGATTCCAGTCAGGGCACATGCCTGGGTTGCAGGGCCAGGTCACTGGCTGGGGGCATGTGAGAGGCAACAAATGGATGTTTCTTTCTCTCTTTTTCTCCCTCCCTTCCCATCTCTCTAAAAAGAAATAAATAAAAGCTTTTTTTTAAAGGGTGGGTCAAGCTTTCTTTTGGATATTTTTGTTGTTTTTGTCTGTATCCTGTATAAATGAAGTTACTTTATGATCTTGGCTCTGTAATCCAAGTAAGACTGAGTCATAGTGGAGTCATAGTCATTTTTTTGGCAGGAAATTATTTCAGAAAACTCCCAGTTCATTTCCCTGAGCATTGAATTACAGAAATATATGTTTTCTTCTAAAACAGAACTGTTTAGGTCTACATAAAACTGAGTGGAAGGTAAAGAGATTTTCGATACACCCCCTGCTCCCAAGCATGCACAGCCTGCACCACCATTGACATCCCCCACCAGAGTGGTACATTTATTACAGTTGATGGTCCTAAACTGACATATCATTATCTATCAAAGTTCACAGTTTACATTAGGGGTAACTCTTGGTATTGTACATTCTACAGGTTTTGGTAAATATATAGTGACATACAGACAGTAGCATACAGAATATTTTCATAGCCCTAAAGTTCCTCTGTGTTATGTATTTATTCCTTCCTCCACCCAACCCATGACAATCACTGATTTTTTTTACATCTCCTAGTGTTGCCTTTTACAAAATGTCATATAGTTGGAATCATACAGTGTATAGTATTTTTAGATTGGCTTCTTTCACTTAGTGATATGCTTTTAAGACTTCCATGTTTTTTCATGGTCTGATAGATTATTTCTTTATATCACTAAATAATTTTCTATTCTCTGGATGTACTACAGTTTGTTTATCCTTTCACCTACTGAGGGACATCTTGGCTGCTTCCAAGTTTTGGCAGTTCTGAATAAACCTGCTTTAAACATCCATGTGCAGATTTTTTGTGTGTGTGAATACACGTTTCCAAATTACTTGGATAAATGCCAAGAAACACAATTGCAGCCCTGGCCGGATATCTCAGTTGGTTATAGTGTCATCACAATGTACCAAGGCTGCAGGTTCAATTCCCAGTCAGGGCACATAACAAGAATCAACTAATAAATGCATAAATAAATGGAATAACAAAATGATCTCTCTCTCTCTCTCTCTCTCTCTCCCCCCGACTCATTTATAATAATGACTATCAGCAAACTGGGAATAGATGGAAAATGCCTCAACACAATAAAGGCCATATAATTGAAACCCATAGATAGCATCATACTCAACAGGAAAAAGAACTAAAAGTGTTTCCTTTAAGATCAGGAACCAGATGGGGATGTCTGTTTTCAACACTGTTAGTCTACATGAGTACCAGAAGTCCTAGCCACAGCAATCAGAAAATAATAAATAAAAGGATCCAAATTAAAAAGAAGTAAAACTGTCATTATTTGCAGATGACTTGATACTCTATATAGAGAATGCTAAAGATTCCACCAAAAAAACTACTGGAGCTGATAAATGAATTTAGTAAAGTAGCAGGATTCAGAATAAATATTCATGATCAGTTGCATGTTTATACATCAATAATGAACTATCAGAAAGAAAATTAAGAAAATCATACCATGTATAATGGCCTCAAAAAATAAAATACCTGGAAATAAATTTAACCAACGATGTAAAAGACCTGTACCTGAAAAATTATAAGACACTGAAGAAGATAAAAATAAAGGGAAGCATAACCATGCTCAAGGATAGAAAGAATTAGCAGTTAAAAATCCATACTTCCCAAAGCAATTTATATATTTAATGTAATTTCTCTCAAAATACCAATGGCATATTTCACAGAACAAGAGCAAATAATCCAAAAATTCACATGGAACTACAAATACCCTGAATAGCCACAGCCATACTGAGAAATAAGAACAAATTTGGAGGAATCACACTGCCTGATATCAAGCTATACTATGAGACCATAGTAATCAGCATGGTACTGGCATTAAAACAGACACATAGATCAATGGAACAGAATAGAGAGCCCAGAAATAAACCCCTGCCTTTATGGTCAATTAATATTTGACAAAGGAGGCAAAAGCATACAATAGGGTAAAGATAGGCTATTCAATAAATGGTGTTGGGGAAATTGGACATGTGCAAAAAATGAAATTAGACCACCATGTTACAGCATATACAAGAATAAGCTCAAAATAGATTAAAGTCTTAAATGTGAGGCTTGATACCATAAAAACTATAGAAGGAAACATAGGCAGTAAAATTTGGACTTTTCTTTTACTAATAGTTTTTTCTGATATATCTCCTCAGACAAGGGAAAGAAAAGAAAAAATTAACACATGATACAACATCAAATTAAAGGGCTTTTAACAAATATTTTATTTATTTATTTTTAGAGAGGGAAGGGAGGGAGAGAGAGAGAGAGAGAGAGAAAAACATCAATGTGCGGTTGCTGGGGGTTATGGCCTGCCACCCAGGCATGTACCCTGGCTGAGAATTGAACCTGCGACACTTTGGTTCGCAGCCCGTGCTCAATCCACTGAGCTACGCCAGTCAGGGCTAAATTAAAGATTTTTGTACAGCAAAGGATGCCACCAACAAAACGAAAAGACAACCCACTGAATGGGAGAAAAAAATGCCAATTATATATTGGATAAGGGATTAACATTTAAAATTTAGAAAATTCATAAAGCACCAAAATAATTTATAAAAACTCTACATGTAAAAAAAACCCCAAACCCAATTTAAAATTAGGCAAAGGACCTAAATAAACAGACACTTCTCCAAATAGAATATACAGATGGTTAACAGGCACATGAAAAGTTGGTCAACATCACTAATCATCTGAGAAATAGAAATGCAAATTAAAACCATAATGAGATATCACCTCATACCTGTCAGAACAGCTGTCATCAATAAAACAATAAGTGTTGGCAAGAATGAGGAGAAAAGGGAACCCTCATGCACTGTTGGTAGGAATGTAGATTGGTGCAGCCACTGTGGAAACCCCCATGGAGTTCCTCAAAAAAATTAAAAATGGAACTGCCTAATATAATCCAGCGATTTCACTTCTAGGTAGATATCCAAAGAAACTCAAAACACTAATTCAAAAGCATATAGGCAGCCCTGTGTTCATTGCAGCATTATTTATAATAGCCAAGCTATGGAAGCAGCCCAAGTGCTCATCAGTAGGCGAATGGGTAAAAAAGCTGTGGTACAGTCCTGGCTGGGTGGCTCAGTTGGTTGAAGCATCATCCCACACATTAAAATGCTGTGGTTTGATCCCTGGTCATGGCTCATACTTACGTTGTGCGTTTGGCCCCCAGTCAAGGCACCTACAGGAACCAACTTATGATTTTCTCTCATCGATGTTTCTCTCTTTCTCTCTCTCTAAAATCAATAAACATATCCTTGACTGATGAATTTTAAAAAACTTTTAAAAAGCTGTGGTACAAATACATGATAAGGTATTACTTGACCATAAAAAAGATCAAAATCTTACCATTTGCAACAGCATGTATGTGTTACTGAACAGGGGACCTAGCCGTGAGTGGGTCCGGCTTGGAGCTAGTCAGTAGTGTGTGGTTTCTTTACTTTTTGTAGGAAAGATTTTATAATTTGAGTCCAGGTGATTTTGAGGGTATGTTTTTTGAAGCTAAGGACAGGGAAAGAAAGGAAGGGCTTAAAGTAGAAGAAGCTACAGGAGAGAGCCCAGGCAGGGCTGATTTCACTCTCTAGAAACCTTGTAGGAAAGAAGCTAGTCTATGTGAGGCTGCTCTGGCTCACCGAGAAACAAAAGTGACCGCACCAGAAGTGAGTCAGAATGGGACTGGGATGTCAGAGGAAAGGGGCCTTTGGAGACAGGTTCAGGGGTAAGCCCAGGATGAGCTACTGCTGCCTGCTGGTCCACTGGTTGCAAGTCTCATTTTATGTTTAGTTATTTAT